TATGCTATCCTGAGTGTGGGGCAGTTAGGTTCAGAGTATCCTCAGGGAGGGGAGAGTGCGGAGGAATGTGCTTTGGTTTATTTTCTATTTCACAATCAAGTTTTTTTCTTTTTTTTCCATAATTTTATTGAGAAATAGCGGTGAGACAGTTTCAAATCAAATTGGTAGGACAGTTTCAATAATTCAAATTTTTTTCCTACAAATTCTCTTCTAAAAGTTTGTATCACTCCTTACAGCTTTTTTTGGTTTTGTTTCATTTTGTTTTGTGAAAGCAAATAATCTGTTTGTTTTTCTAAAAAAATATTTATTTATTTGGTACAGGGTCTGGCTATGCAGCTCGGATTTGTAGTGAGACTCCTGTCTCAGCTTCCCCAGCACTGGGATTATAGGCATGCATCCCCGCACCCAGTTTCAGTTGCACCCAGGGCAGGGCCAGCAAAGCATGCGGTATGGTACTGGTACTGGGGGATCAAACTTGGGTCCTTGCACTTGCCAGGCAGATGCTTAGATGGCTGAGTTATCTCCCTGTTATCTGTCTTTTAATGATGTCATTTCATGTCTATATTGCTATGTCTTTTTTTTTTTTTTATTTTAGGGGTCTACAGGGCGCTCAGGGTCTCACTACTAGATCAGACTCCTAGTGATCCACCTGTTTACAGCCTCACAAGAGCTGGGATTACAGATGTGCGCCACCACGCCCAGCCTCAGTTACTGTCTCAGCGTGCCCCGGGGGTGGGGCCAGCAGTGCAGGCTCAGGGATTGAACCTCCGGTCCCTGTGCCTGTTTGCAGGTGCTTTAATCCACTGAACTATTTTGCCAGCCCCAATATATTGCCCTATCATTGATGTTGCCTTTTATAATGGTACATACAGATCTATAATACATCAGCCAAAATGCTGATAGACCATATTCTTTCATTTTGCCATTGTTTATTGTTTTCCCCCCTTTACTTTTCAGATTGATTTTTAAGAGACCGCCCACCTAGCCTTTTCCCCAGATTTTGTGCAAATTGTAGGGTTGGGTAGGAAAAATTGTGTAAAGTGTCTTGGTAGCAAATGATTTCTGTGTTTGGATTTTTTTTTTTTTTTTTTAAAACAGTACTGGGGGCCATTTCTGTGTTTTGAAACTCTGGAAACATAGCCTGGACAATAAATCAACTTGCATTTCTACCTTCCCCAAGCTTTTTACCTTGTTGATTTGTAGGAGTAAGAGTGTCACACATGGGTGAAGTTAGTGTCTGAACAGGATACAGGGCATAAGAGTCAGTGGCAATTAGTGTCTTTATTTTTCAGCTGGAATCTTGATCTGCTTTCTTAGGCTTGGGTCAGCTTTGCCAGCTTGCCTGTTCTTTGTGCTTTAATTTCATGTTTTCAAACAAGATTTATTTCCTTACTTGACTTACTATGGAGGGAAAACTATCCAGATTTTTTTTGTAAGTTTGTTTCTGAAACAAGCATTTGATCCTTTGTAGTTTTAAAAAGATGTACAGACAGAAAATGAAACAATACTCAAATACAAGTAGTAAATTTCTATTTCAAAAGTCTCAGAAGCTTCTAGATGGAATTTCTTCCTTGTTTCTTGGAGTGGGAGTGGTACTTGGCTCAGGACTTCTCTTCTACAGAGCTTTTCAGCTTCCTGGCATATCATTGCAGGACCTCTTTATATGTATTCCTGGTCTGATTTCTTTGTTATGTCTGTCCCTGACTGTTCCTTTCTTCTTTCATGTTTTTTCTTTTTCTGTTTATTTCTTTTATTTTCTCTATGTAGACCTTTTACTAGGAGCGATAATAGTGATTTCAGGTATCAACTAGTTTACTTTCCTTTTTAAGTCTCAGAAAGTTTAGGCTAACTTGGATAATCAAGGAATTTGTTGGCTCACATAATTGAGGCTGGGTTTTGAGGTTGATAGATGCAGCAGCCCAGTAGATAATTGATATAAGTAAGGGCCTAGTTTTTCTTAATTTTTGCTGTCTGCAGTGCTAGACTTACCTTTTTTTCCCCATTGGTTTGGGTAATTTGAGTAACAGATGGGGCTGGTAATTTCTTGTACTGTGTTCATAGGGAAAGAATTTCTTTTCAATCACCAAATGAAAGTCCTAACTTTCTGCCATTGGATTAGTATGAACCAACTTCTAGCCAAGGGAGAGTTACATGCCCGCAGGCTTAGGTCTGGATGACTGGCAGAAAATAAGAAACTAGATCCTTGATGGATTCATTGAGCTGCTGTTTGACTGAGACTACACAGAATTGGGCACCAGCTGTTTTTGTGGAATAAGTGCAAGTGGTATTCGAGAGACAGCCACAGAATGTGTGGTAATTGTACCTTTGGATACATAAAGGAATGGCATATTTAAATTATAATATGAAATTTTAATATTTAATAATATCCATTATGACTGAGACCAGTATCTCTAAGAAATACCTTCACTTGTGTGTTTATTGTAGCATTATTCACAATGGCAGCTTTTTTTCTTTCTTTATATTTATTTATACTGGGAATGGAACTCAGGACCTTGCAGTTGCCTGGCTGGTGCTGCGCCATTGAGCTATATCCCTCCCCCCATGATACCAACCTAAATAACCCTTGATTGTCAATAGATGAATGTAGATAAACATGTGGAGGAGTATTATTCAGAGAATGAAACAAAAGGTTGTAAGAAGTGGAATAAGACAAAGAAGATATGATTGTAACATACGGTTAATGTATACATAAAAAATTTATTACAGTAAGAGACACTACCATTAACCTCCCCAAAATACTCAGTCACTTCAAACACGCTTACCCCATCATTCTTGCCACTTCTGAAGCAGTTCTGGAAGTCCTCTTTCATGAGTGTCTTCTCAGGATGTGATCAAAAAATAGTGAATGCTGCTGCCAAGTAGAAAAGCAGGCTGCCAAAGACATTGTGCTATTTCCTTATCTACATTATTCAAGAGATTTGGCTCCATGTGACTTCTGGCTCTTCCCCAAAGTCAGAATGGCCAGGAAAGGTAAACATTTTTTAATTGACTTAGGACATTGAGGCAGCCATGCTAGTCTGTCTGAAGAGAGAGAAGAAGGCTTCCAGAACTGCTTTGGAAAAGTGGCAAGAATGATGACCTAAGTGTTTTCAAAGAAAGGGGATGCTTTTACTTAGGTGGGAATTAATGATAGTGTCCCTTTTCCTGTACCAATTTTTAAAAAGTAACATTCTCTGCATGTTTTGATCAAACCTTATATCTGTTTTACCCATTTGGACTCACTTATCAGTTCTCTTTTTCCTCCTACATGTAGATTCTATTTTTGAACCATTTGAGAATAAGTTTGATACATTACGATCCTCTCCCCCTAAGTATTTAAGTGTGTAATCCTTAAAGTAACCTTAGGGGATTTTAACATTGCTGTTACCTACAGTTTAAAAAAAAAAAATTCAAAGTATTTTTTTAAGTGAAATATGTAGTGTCTCTAAAAGTCATTTGTACTTACCTGTTACATCATATTCACAGTCACTGAGAAAATGAAACAGTCTCAAGTTTGTGTCCTCATATGAGTGGTCTTTTTCATTGACACACTCAGGAATATTCAGCTCTAGAAAGGGAGGGGATCTTGCCATTTGCACTAACAAAGAAGAATATTTAGCACATTTTGCTGAGTAAAACAAGTCAGCCACAGAACAACAAATAGTGCATGCTCTCACTTCCATATGAGATCTGCAAAAGTAAAATTGGTATAGGCAGAGAATGGAATGGTGATTATCAGATGTGGGAAGAAGGTGGAAATGAGATACTGATTAGGTGGTACAGTTGTACAGGAGAAAAAGTTCCAGAAACTGAATGATCACCTTGAGCACTCTAGTTAGTCATAATTGTATGTATTGTATACCAGAATTAGCTAAGGAAATAATTCTTAAAACCAGGTAACCGTGTAAAGAGGTAAATGTGTTAATTAGTTTGACTATAATAGTTTACTGTGTATATCAAAGCACACTATTACCTTTAATGCAATTAGTTTAGAAAATCCTGTATGGCACTGTCTTTTAGTAGACGATCCTATCTGAGATAGGTTTTAGTTTAGGTGTCATGCCGCTTTAAGCCATAACATTTTCATAGTTTGTATTCTGTGGTTGTCACCTTTTCCTTGTGTTAATGTACAGTGCTGGAGATTGAACTGAGGGCCTGCACAGTGAGCTGCATCCCCAGCCTTTTGTTACTTTGAGACAGGGTGTGACTAAGTGGGCCAAGTGGATGCAGACTTCTGATATCCTGCCACAACTTCCTGGAGTGCTGAGGTGATAGGTACAGGCCGTTATGCTTGGCTGATACGGACAGCTTTGGAGAATATAACCCTGTCCCTTTAAAAAATAAAAATACTCTTTTCATTTATTTTGTAGACTACTTTCCTGGATTGTTACTGATGTTACCTAGATGAGAAGAAGAGAAGGGGGCGCAGTTGGCCCCCGAGCCACCTGGTTTCTGGACGGAGGGGAAGATGTGTTGACTGCCTGCATTGTTTCCCTCTGTTCTCCCACTTATATTCCCTTTTGTCCTGATGGCATCTTCTCTGATACCTTCCCACTTCTTTGACAGATTTGGATTAGGTTGTTGAGTGAAAAGAAAGAGAACAGGCTTCAGGGCAAACAGTTCTAGACAGTGAGGAGATGTGGTTGTGGAGAGGTAGAAAATGCATCAGGAGAATGGTGGCCAGGCAGGAAAGTGCGTGGAAATGCTTGCCTTAGTCTTGGGCCTTCAGCCTGGCCTACTGACTTCATGAAGTTAAGTTGGACTGATGAGCCTGCAAATCCTGAGGGCCTGAGGACTTTGGAAAAGTAGATGGTCAGGCACAGGATGAAACAGTGGCAGTTGAGGCTTTGGCTCAGTATAAAATGAACATAGCTTCTTACATCCAGGAGAATTATGGCTTGTTAGTTTCTTATAAAGTACTCTATTGCAATTTGCATGCCACTTCCCTATGAGAAAAGTAAGAAGTGTTGCACTCTGATCTGCAGACTGCTTTCCTAAAGGGATCCTCAGGGCCCACAGCAAGGTACTCTAGGCCATTTCTTGCGATGGCACTTTTTAGTAGTTGGATGTTGAGTCTCGTCAACAGAATTAATCTCTAGAATCAGAGTTGAGTATTGTGCCTAGGCATGAAATAGACTCTGTACTGAAGATTTCTTGTTGGATTAGGTAGAATGTCTTAATCATGTTTTGTATGATGGTTATGAATGGAGCATGTCAGGAAGAGTCAGAAAGCTTGTTGCCAGGGAACAAAGTGCTGGATTCTCTGTTTAGTTTCATAGACAGCAGTGAACACCTCAAAGCAGTGTAAAGGAGAAATCCTCCCTGAGGGACACTACGTTTTGCTGGCTGGCCAGGATGCTGGTGGTGGACTTCTATAGGGATTTGAAATCCTAGCCTCCTTTTCTGGCTAGTAATCTTTTAAAAGATCCAATTTTTATTTTTTCATCTTACATAATAGTGTATAAAATATATGAAATATGGAAGAGTGCTTAGATAGCATGAGAAACATTTCGTAAGGTGGCATACTTGAATTTATGTAGGATATAATTTCAAAGATACATAGCTAAATAGTTGGTCAGTGTCCCATTGTGGTAGATTGTTTATTGAGTAAAGCATCTTTTGTGTTTACGGCCGTTTGATAAATGACATAATTAGTTCAAGTGTTCACATAATAGTTCAGGTGTTCACATTTTTCCTACGGTGTATGCACAATGCTAAGGGTGTTCCCATATGTGTCATATTCTATCAGTTATAACATTATAGAATTTATAGAGGGCTGGCCTGATAGCTCAGTGGACTAAAACGCCTGCTTAGCCAGGTCACAGATCGCGCCGGCCCTGCCTTCAGGACACGATTGAGACTGGGTGTAGTGGTACATGCCTATAATCCCTGCACTTGGGAGGCTGAAAACAGGAGAATCACTGTGAGTCCAATCTACATAGTGAGACAATGTAGACCCTGTCCTAAATACAGAAAAAAAAATTATAAAGAGTATATTCATGTATTTACTTTTATATATATATATATATATATATATATTTATATTTAGCCAGACATCTTACTGTGCATATTGTTTCAAAAGCATATTTTAGAGACTTCTATATTAGTCAGTATAGATGCACATTTATAATCTTAAAGATTTAAGGTAGGCTGGGAAGATGGCTCAGTGGCATAAGCACCTGCCTGGCAAGCACAAGGTTCTCAGTTTGATCCATGGTACTGCAAAAGAAAAAACAAAAAAAGCCTCAACTGGGGCCTGGGGAGATAGCTCAGAAGCGCAAGGGCCTGAGTTCAATCCCCAGTTCCACAAAAAAAAAAAAAAAAAAGAAGAAAAAAAAAAGATTTAAGGTATTTCATTAGCTATACATTATTTATCCAGTTTTCTCCTAGTAGATTTATTTATTTTTCTCCTAACAGGTTTTAAAATTCTTGTTTTTAAATAATGCAGCAATGTGTACTCATGTACTTAGACCTTTGTGCAGTTTTCTGATTTTTAAAGACTCTTTTCCAAGTATAGAACTTTGGGGTCAGGTATAGGATGCTTGACTTTTAAAACAGTCCTCTTAGGTTAAATGAAAGCTAAAACAACTCTAGGAAGAGTTTCAAAAGACCTCTGGAAATGTTATTCTGATGTTTCTCTTGTTTCTGTGCTTCCTTTTGTTTTAACCCCGCATGGTTGTGTAATGGTATTCTTTTTCCCTTTTGTAGTAAGCTGTGCTAGAACAAAAATGCAATGAAAGAAACACTGGATGAATGAAAAGCCCTGCTTTGCAACCCCTCAGCATGGCAGGCCTGCAGCTCATGACCCCTGCTTCCTCACCAATGGGTCCTTTCTTTGGACTGCCATGGCAACAAGAAGCAATTCATGATAACATTTATACGCCAAGAAAATATCAGGTACTAATGAAAACACTAATACCAGAGCATTTTTCACTAAAATGGAAAAAATTAGCATATAGTTGACACGACTTATAAAACTCATTTACCCTTTTCCAAGCTTCCCTTTTCTGATTAATTTTCTCATTCAAAACACTTGTTCTTAATAGTCTTTTTCTAACATCTGCTGGGTAATTGATTTGTTAGTACTGTGTGAAGTTTCTTATTTGTTTTCTGCTCTGTAAATTTACTCTTCCTTAATATGTATTTGGGTGTGTCTGTCCTAATGAGCTAGGTAGGAATTGAGATTGGTTCAGTAATACTCAGCTTTGAAAATACAACTGTGAACTGGCAGTACAATTATTGTAAGTTTAGTCATTCATATTCTACAGAAGTATTTTGTTTAAAAAGTAATTCTTAAATGAAATTGTAAGTACCCTTTTAACATGTATTTACAACATAGCTATGTGTAGTAAGCATTTTATTTTTAAGTATTCTTGTGTAAATTTGTAAAAGTTTTTCTCTTTTTTTCTGGGCAAGGTTATTAAAGCAAGATTTTAGAAAATAGTGAAATTTCCTGGTTTAAAATAGAATCCAACTTTCTAAATTTTGTACTCAGGTATGAGTATATAAACTTTTTTCCGCCATATTTCTAGGTTGAACTGCTCGAAGCAGCTCTGGATCGTAATACCATCGTCTGTTTAAACACTGGCTCAGGGAAGACATTTATTGCAGTACTACTCACGAAAGAGCTGTCCTACCAGATCAGGGGAGACTTCAGCCGAAATGGGAAAAGAACTGTTTTCTTGGTCAACTCTGGTAATAAAAAATTATTTTATCAAGTTGTATGGAGGAAATTGGATGAGATTTTATGTTTAAGGAGATTGTCTCAGTGGATATTAAGTTATTAAAAGTGAAGAGTTAGACAAATACAGTAATATGCTTTTCAAACTCTGATTCTGCATTTCTTTTGAATGAATTACTTTAGGAACATAATATAATGTAAGTTATTTTTCTTGTTGATTTTTCAGTTTGTGCTTTATTAGGAGATGTATACCTTTTTGACTTACAATTTTGTGAAAGAAAATTATACACCTACTAAAAATAGGTTATTCAGTAAGTTCAAAATACGGATTTTTATATTTAGGATTGTACATTGAAGTAAAAAGCAAAACGTGAAGCTAAGCTGATAGGTTCTTTTTATATAACCATGTCAGTCCTTCTCCTTTTTGTAGATTGGTTCAGCATAACTACTTGAAATACATATGAGATGGTCTCATTTCTTGGTGACATAATCTGGTTTTACTGAGGGAAGCAGGAGGGGTGGATCTGCAGTGGCTGCCTTTCCAGCCTGGAAGGGTTGCCTTAGATGGTGTAAGGTTCTTTGGAGTGAGTGACAAAAGGTCACATGGCAAGTCTTGTACATGCATTTTGGAGGATGGCTTTGGAACTGTGATTTTAAATTGGCTGTTTAAACAGCGAGGGGTTAGGTGTAAGAGTTACAAGGGTTTTTATAACTGTCTTAATCATTAGTTATCCATACAGCCAACTAGGCATGACTTCTCATATTCACATGGAGTGTTGTATTTGTAATCAGCGAACCAGGTTGCTCAACAAGTGTCAGCTGTCAGAATTCACTCCGATCTCAAGGTTGGGGAGTACTCAAACCTAGAAGTAAATGCATCTTGGACAAAAGAGAGATGGAACCAAGAGTTTACTAAGCACCAGGTAAGACTTGGAGAGAAATTTTCACTTTATAAATCATACAAGTCCTTGACTTGGTTTGTAAGATGACCTGTAGCTTTGGTTATCTCAGTGAATAGGTTAAGCAACTCAAGGTTCCTGCTCTTTTTCAGCTCAGAGACTATCCTTATGTGCTCTTTTTTGTTTGAATATCAACTAAATTACTGACTTTCCTTGCTTTTAATCTTTAGGGAAAAAACCCAACATTCATGATTATTTACTAAGCATAAGTTCCTACAACTATTTCCAACTTGCAGATAATCTGCTTTCAGAAAATTTACTCTTGAGTTAAATATATTGAAACTCAAGCAGTTTCTTTGCTGAAGTCTTTGGATATTTGATGCAAATTCCCTCTAACTTCCATTTCTCTATATAGGCAGCATATTCTTATTTGTGGTACTGGGAGATACAATTGCTAGGAGCTGCTTCCTACTAATTTTAAACAGGTTGGAGTCTATTAGTATTGCTCACATATTGGGATAAATCCTCATAAATAAAGCACTTAAGTGGCCACAGAATGATAGGCTGTGAAAAGAATATTCAGTCATCCAGAAAATGTTGCCAGTTCGGGGGGTGAGGGGGGGGAGAATGTAAAAGCAGTGAATGGTTTTGTGATTTGACTAAATTAATTGGTCTCATCAGTCAAAATATGGCCTGAAGTAGGTTTAGTAGACTTATTGTAATGAAATGTTCTCCCTTATCCAGAATTGTTTACTCATAGTCTTTTCCCATGCTTCCTTAGTTCTTGGTTCCAGGTTATGAAAGTCTAGGTTGTGATGGCAAACTTTTTGGAGCTTTGATTGATAGCACATATGCTATAGCTTCACCCCCACTGGTCTGTGCATTTAGATGTTTTCTTTTAATTTTGACTAAATTTCTTAATCCTCTCCTATGATACAATGACTCTGTGATTGATCTCATAGAAGTATATCCAGCTGCTAAGTAGCATGGTTGTACTGATGCTAGTTTCATTTTAGGTTCTCATTATGACTTGCTCTGTCGCCTTGAATGTTTTGAAAAATGAGTACTTATCACTATCAGACATTAATCTTCTGGTATTTGATGAATGTCATCTTGCAATTCTAGACCACCCCTATCGAGAAATTATGAAGGTAGGTTTTTAGACTTGACCTTAACAATTCAAGGTAAATTACAGAGAATGCAATTTTCTTTTAAGATGTGAAAGGCAATACAATTAATTATCAATATTTGAAACTCAGTTCTAGTGTATGGATGAATGAACAAATGGGTATTAATGTTTATTTAACTCAAAGTTTTTAAATATGAGTGGTATATACCGACGTTTTGTAGCATATCTACATTTGCCTTTTGAAGATCTTTTAAAGAAACTTGTGGAGCTGGGGGTGATGGTGCACATCTGTAGTTCCAGCACTCAGAAGGCTGAGGCAGGAGCATCACTTTGAGTTCAAGACCAGCCTGGGCTACAAAGTGAGCTCAAGGCTAGCCTGAACTGCATACAAGACCCTGTCTCAAAAAAGACACCCCCCCCCGCAAAAAAAAAACAAAAAACAAAACAACCAAAAAAACCCCAAACTTGTCTACTTCTGTAATATTATGTAATCCTTGGTATATTGATGGTTCCATTAAACAATCAATTTTTAGTGTTAGTGATTTTGATGTGCTTTAATATGGCAGTGTCTCTGTTACAACCTTGAAAAATAAAGTCTTTATTGTCAGTATCTTTCATTATGTTAGCTCTGTGAAAATTGTCCGTCATGTCCTCGCATTTTGGGACTAACTGCTTCCATTTTAAATGGGAAATGTGATCCAGAAGAATTAGAGGAAAAGATTCAGAAACTGGAGAAAATTCTTAAGAGTAATGCAGAAACTGCAACTGACCTGGTGGTCTTAGACAGGTAAGTGGTTCTGATAGGCATGGCTTGTATAAGACTAGTTGTAACTAATGTTAAACTTGCGATTTCTTTTTTTTTTTTATTTTTTCTTCTGGAACTGGGGATTGAAATCAGGCCCTTGTGCTTGTCAGGCAACTTGCATTTTCTTTTGTAGTGCCTTAGAGATACCTGTCTAAGCGAACAGTGACTGGTAAAAAGATTTAATAGGTCCTTAAAAGTATGTTACCAGCAGATACAAGAATCCAGTCTTGTTTCAGAGAGCAGCAGACAAGGCATTTCTACCTTGACAGATTATATTGCAAATGTCAGCTCCTCTTATTTCCTGATCTTTGCTGAGAATAAAGACATTAATAGTAAATTTGGGTTCTTTTCTGTCAGTGTGCATGCTTTGTTATTCTGGCCTAGATGTTGCCTATGATGTTTTGAAAGAACGTTAATTTATTTAGCAAATTTAGCAATATACTTTGGAATATCATTTTCTACTGTTTTGAGGGTGCAGATTTCTGAGGAAAACACTTTATAACTTTTAGACTTGTCTCTTCTTTAGGAAGTTTCAATTTTGAGTTTCAGTAATTTACACATGGAAATACACTGCTTACCATGTTACTGATTTGCTTAAGTTGAGGCAAGCGACTGGAGCCTATGTTTGTCAGAGGGAATCTGATCTTTAAGTAAAGGTACTAATTCAGTTTATGTCAAAATAGTGTATAATTTTTTTTTAAGTAGTATAGCCTTAAAAAAACCTAAAGATTACCAAGTGGTGGTTCGCAGGAACAAGTAGAGAAGACTGACTGGTCAGGCTGTAGAGTTGAGTGACATGGACCTGATCACTGCTCTACCAATTCTAAGGGGTGTAACCTCAGGCGAGTTACCTCCCTGAACCAAGTGGCACTACAGTTGTTTCAGAGGGTCTTTTGATGGTCAGTTACATGGAGGGGTAGAAAATGCCTTGTAGTGCACCTGACAGTGAGGAGACATTTGGGAAATTTTCTTCATGGAGTGAGAAAAGGTAACAGATCCATCCAATTTAGATATCCCAATGCCATATGAAATAAAAATCTTAAAGCCTTTGTGACATGCTACTTTTGGCTTCCCTGAGTCAACACGAGTTACGGTGTAGAAGTTAGAAGGCTATGCCTGGGCTTTTCTCTGGCCTGAGTTTGTGTGGCCTGTACTAGTAGAAGTCTTTAGGAAAAGTACAGCTGTTAGAGCATTTGAAGAATTAATTGCTTAGGGACTGGGGAGATAGGCCAGCAGTGCGGTGCCAGGGGCAAGGGCCTAAATTTGATTCCTCGTGCAGAAAAAAAAAAAAAAAGAATTAACTGCCAGGTAATCTTTTGGATGAAGCATTACCTGGTTGTCACTATGACACTCTAGTTAAGTACAAAACCTAGTTTGGGTTATGAAAAATGAAAACTATAGTATTAAATATGTTCTTGCTATTTTTCTTCATTAAAATTACCACATGTGCTTTTAGGGTATGTAATAATGTGTAGTGCTTTTCTGGTTATTTCATTTTGTGGCAGGAATGACATCACAAGTGATTGAAGGCTGAGGAGTTTTCCATAGGAGGACACATTAAAAATGAAATTGACTTTGCAAATTTTAAAGATTTTTGACAAGCCGGGTATGGTGGTGCATGCCTGTAATCCCAGCACTTGGGAGGCTCGAGGATTGTTGGGAGTTTGAGATCAGTTGAGCTACAAAGTGAGTTCAAGGCCAGCCTGAACTGCATAGGAAGACCGTCTCAAAAAAGACCAAAAAAAAAAAAAGGGAAAAAGAAAAAAACCCAAAAAGATTTTAGACAGTACAGAAACAATACAGTGTATTTAATGACAAAACATGCCTCTGGCTACTACATTGCTGTTTACACTTTTTAAAATAATTAATTGAATTTCTGGAGTCTTTGGAACATTTTGTGATTTTCATGCTTGGCTGATGCCTAAAGGGACAAAACTTGAAAATCTACATCTAAAAACTGAGACAAACCCCCCTGAGATAATAATCAAATGCATCAACACTGTTCTTTGAACATGGGTCTTATGGGGCTGTCCTTTGCAAACTAACAGACGCCATGGCATTGATGAGAGTGTCTCTCTAGGAAAGCTCTGCCTGTTGGCCCAAGAGGAAACCTATGTAGATGGACCTTAGGTTGTAGTGAGATTCTAAAAAGTGGGCAAGCAGTGGGATAAGTGAAAGACAGGGCTGAGTTCGTTATACAGACTCACTAGCTGTCTTTGCACTCCCTGAGCTCCCCTGTGTGAGGGTTAACACCGAGTGTGTGCAGGTCCCTGGCATGCTGCTTGCAGGTAGTAGATACCCAATTTTACTCTGTTCTTTGCACTCTTCTTTCTTTTCTTTAGAAAATATCTTGTGAGCAATTCTTTAGTTTAATTTATTTTTTTAATAGATTGTAAATTGAAAATAAATTATTTACAAACATAAATGAATATAACAATAAAAATTGTCCAAAATAAAAATGAAGAAAGAATTTACAGATCAGTCATAATAGTTTACTGTGTCAAAACCAAGAAACTTATATTCATATAATTAGAATTCTCAAAGTAGAAAGGAGTAGGCAAGAAATACTTAAAGATTTAAAATTTCTGAATTTAGTTGAACTTATAATACTGCATTTCCAAGAAAATGAACCTTTTGCACAATATATTTAAATAAAATCATACCAAGATACACAAAAATGAAATTGTTTAAAACTTATTGTAAAGAAAAAAATCATTAAAGCATATACATAAAAAATATTAGCTATGGAAGAACAAAATTAAATAGCATCTTATTTCACAAATATATTGTCCTTGGATAGAGGACGTATCAGATATTAAACTTATAAGAACAGATACTGCACTTGATCTTAGCCAAAAGGCTGAGAAGCAGTAGTACTTTAATGATTTACCAGAAAAGCTATATATTTTCTGTGGAGAAATTTAGTAACACTGAAAGAATAAATATCTAATATCCCACCCCACTGCTGACATTTTGGGATATTATCTTAGCATTTCTTTCTTTTTTTAAAAATTTTTTTTATTTTTATGTATTTAGTACAGAGTCTGCATGGTCTCACTACACAGATCGGACTTGTAGTGATCCTCCAGTTTTCAGTCTCCCAAGTGCTGGAATTACAGGCATGTGCCGCCACGCCCAGTCTCAATCGCTGACTCAGCACATCCCATGTGGTGGAGCTGGCATGGTACTCTGGGACAAACCTTGGTCCCTGTGTCTGCTGCACTGTCTGGGTGGCCCCTTCTTTTGTTTGTTTTTTGAAAAACAGTTTTAATGTATTTTCACCATTGCAATGTTATTTTAAGTATTATCCTTAAATTGTATTTTGAAGAGTAAAAACAAATAGAAACAAAGACAGAAAAGGGGTGACATACAAGAATATGTGTTATACAGATTTTCAAAATAAGAATAGCAAATTAACAGTGGTAGTTCTATTACTTATTTTATTGTCAGATCTGTAGCTCAGATTAACATTAATAGTTATGCAAGATTGGATAAAAAATTGAATATTAACACTTTCAATAAACCTTAATTTTTTTCTTTTTTACTTTAAAAAATTTATTTTGAAGAGTATAATAATAATTAAGATACTAGAAATGGTACAAATTAGCGGTTAGGATTCTTGATTTTCACCATTGCAATATTAATGACTTTTTTTTTTGTTTCTGATCCTAAAGATATACTTCTCAGCCATGTGAGATTGTGGTAGATTGTGGACCGTTTACAGACAGAAGTGGGCTTTATGAAAGACTGCTGACGGAGTTAGAAGAAGCACTTAATTTTATCAATGACTGTAATATATCTGTACATGCAAAAGAAAGAGATTCTACTTTAATTTCTAAACAGGTAACCATATGGAAAGTATAATAGTGTTTTTGTGTGTTTTTATTTTTATATTTTAGGGAAGGGTCTACAGGGTTTTCAGGGTCTCACTACTAGATTGGATTGTAGTGATCCACCTGTTTACAGCCTCCCCAGTGCTGGGATTACAGGCACGCGCCCCCATGCTGTCTCAGTGGCTGTTTTAGTGCACTCTGGGGGCAGGCCCAGGGATCGGATCCCCGGCCCCTGTGCCTGCTTGTAGGCATTTTTTTTTTTTTAAACATTTATTTATTTATTTATTTATTTATTTTGTGTGTGTGTGTGGCCAGCTCCGCCCACCAGGGGGCGGGGCTGGCTGGCATGTGGTGCTGGGGGATTGAACCGCGGTCACTGTGCTTTGCTTAGCTTAGCTTGTTCTAAGTAGGTGTTTTAGACCACTGAGCCATCTCACCAGCCCCTGCTTGTAGGCATTTTAATCCACTGAGCTATTAGGCTGGCCCCTGTTTATTGTTAATATTGAAATAGAATAACCTTTGTTTTTTTTTTTTTTCCACATGTAATTTTATTTGATGTTCCTTATGCTCACATAACGTTCTTTTCTACAGAACTGTATTTTTTTTAAATTTTTTTCATAATTTTATTGATAAATACAAAAGAGAGAGTTTCAAATCAAATTGGTAGGACAGTTTCAATAATTAACACATTGCATACATTCTTCCCAGTGGTTAATGGCTGTACAAGATGCGGACATGATATTCAATAATTAACACAATGCATACATTCCTCTCAGTGGTTAATTGCTGTACAAGATGCGGACAAGATATCCTATCTACAAACACCATTAGAACAAATCCCTCTATTCATTATAAGACTGGAACTATGTATCCTATGCAATTTGAATATACAAATACAAAATGGACATTCATCTGTATAAACTTTTTTGTTAAGTACCGTTACTTGAATATTTTTTTTCTTTTCAAAGTTTTATTGATAAACATATAGCAATGAGACAGTTTCAAATCAAATCGAAAGTACAGTTTCAACAAATAATACACTGCATATATCCTTCTTAGTAGTTAATTGCTGTACAAGATGCAGATTTGTGATCCTACTTACAAACACCATTAGAAAAAATCATTCCATTCATTAAGAGAATGCAACTATATATCTATCCCGACCACTTTGAATACACAGATACAAAATGGACATTCATAGTTATACCCCAATTTTTTTTTAAGTTCCGTTGTTGAATATTATAGGTGTGTAAACTCAGCAAAACATTCTAAAAGAGTCCAGTAGCCCACAATAGCATAGGGTCTTCTGTTTAACTGGCAATGTCAGAAATTATTGACCTGAGTCCCCCACAGCTCAACATAACAACATGGCTTTACTTCCTATATTTCATCTTCATACTTTTCTACTGGATGGTTAAGACCAAGGTAAAGCAGGACCTGTGCAACAAGAGTTGTAGCTTTTTGGTCTGAGAAGGTCAGTGAAATGCCCTCAGGATTTATCCTGAGATCCTGTACCTCAGATTGTAGAACCTTTATGTTTTAGTTTAAGACCTTATTTTTTTATTTCCTTGGAGGTTTTTCATTAAATATGTAGTAGATTAAAGGTTAAGTTTACTTGATATCCGTATTTTTAAGTAAGCCCTTCCTTAAGGAGAGGAATTAGGATTTATGTCATTGTTTTTGTGGGAGGAATGAGTCCTTTTGCTGTGTTTTTGATGCAACGAGAGCACGTGGACTTGAGTCTTTCCTGCTCCCGGGTGTGTAACTGTACATGAGTCTCCCGGCCCTTGTGGATCCAGCTTGAGAAGAGAGTTTTAGGGAGTTCGCAGGTGCTTTTGGATGTCAGCACTGTATTGAATGTGATTCTTCATTCTGTTCTTGCTGATTTTTTTCTAGAGTAGCAATGCCCAGTATTTCTCACCTTTTGCATTCTTGCTAAGTCCATGTTATATCCTTTGCTAGAATGTAGACCAGCAGTTTGTACATCTTGGATGTAGAGTCATGTGGCATTCTGGGCAGGCTCCAAGATCATAATCTGGATTTGGCTTAGATTTTAAGCATGAGAAACCTTGCCTCTAGTGGTACAGTTTTCATTGAAATAATGATAGAAGACAGTTATACAGGTTTCAAATACTAACCTTTGGAGATATAGTACAGGCTGCAGACAGTCAGAATTCATTCATAGTTCCTAGTCTTACTCTATAATATTGATAATAATATCTATCTAATCCATCTAAACTAGGAGATGTTATAAAGTTTAAGGAAAATCATATTCTTTCCAGAAGAACAGGAATTGCCAAAGTAAAATTGGTCTGTTAACATAGTGTTTTTGCATAATTTGGCAGGAAGTAAATGGCTTAGTTGAGTTCTCACTAATCACAGATGTAAAATTAAGTATTAGGTCTTATAAATCTTATACAACTGTTTTTTTTTTTTTTTTTCTATTGGATTATTGCTGGGAATAAAAGAGGTGATTCTAGGCATAGACATGTGAAACAGCAGAGGCAGAGAAGACCACTGATCCCCCCAGGTTAGGGTTACTTTGGTGGGGTAAAATGATTTTGAAGGGGCAGTTTGGGGACATTTAAGTACCTACTACATACCATGTGAAAATGCTGCATGATTACTGTCTAGTATTTGGCTTCTTGTTTTTCTTGTAGATTCTATCAGACTGTCGTGCAGTGTTGGTAGTTCTGGGACCCTGGTGTGCAGATAAAGTAGCTGGAATGATGGTAAGAGAACTTCAGAAATATATCAAACATGAGCAAGAGGAGCTGCACAGGAAATTTTTATTGTTTACAGACACTTTTCTAAGGAAAATACATGCACTATGTGAAGAGCACTTCTCACCTGCCTCACTTGACCTGAAATTTGTAACTCCCAAAGTAATAAAACTGCTTGAAATCTTGCGCAAATATAAACCATATGAGCGACAGCAGTTTGAAAGTGTTGAGTGGTATAATAATAGGAATCAGGATAATTATGTGTCTTGGAGTGATTCTGAGGATGAGGATGAGGATGAAGAAATTGAAGAAAAAGAAAAGCCAGAGACAAATTTTCCTTCTCCATTTACCAATATTTTATGTGGAATTATTTTTGTGGAAAGAAGATATACAGCAGTTGTCCTGAACAGGTAAATCTCTCAGGTTTACATCTGTTTCCGAATAGAACAAAGGCAGCTTTTGTGCTGTGAAGGGATAAGAGTGTAATGGCGTGAACATGAGGGATCTGTCAGCGTCTTCTGCTCAGTCCCATCCATGGGTCCTGGGGAATGCTGTCTTCGGATTGGGTGTGGGTGTCCGTGTGTTGGGGTGTCTGTAAATTCAGTCGCATTCCTAAAGGCTGATTTAGGCAAGAGTAAGATTTTTGTCTCAAAAGAAGCTAATCTAGACTAAATAGAAGAAGAGAACAGGCATAAAAATTTACATTTGGAGCCGGGGAGATAGTTCAGCAGAATAAGTGCTTGCCTGGCAAGTGCAAGGGCCTGAGTTCATTCCCCAGTTCCACAAAAAAAAAAAAAAAAAAAAAAAGAAAAAAAATTTTACATTTGAATGATAAATTCCTTGTTATGTATTTAATTTTTATATGTAATTATCAGCCATGGTATTAAGCATGTCTCACCAAGCCTTCCTTTGCTGCTAATCATAGGATGAACATGTTAATTTTTTTCTTAGCCTATTGTGATGTTACGAAATACTCCTTTGGTCTCTTTCTTGTTTACTGACTTACAGTTTTTATAGTCTTTAGAGTCTTCACAGTGATTTGTGTACTACTTAGTTGTTTTATGGGTGCCTAATTCCAATCTTTTTTTTTTTTGCGGTACTGGGGATTGAAATCAGGACCTTGCACTTGCCAGGCAAGTGCTTATTCTGCTGAGCTATCTCCCCGGCCCAACGTGCCTAATTCCATTGCTTGGGGTTGGAGTTGGTCATAGGTTTCAAAAGTCTTCTTTGTTGATTGTTGTGGTCTGAGAGCTGAGAGAAGACTTTCCAGCATGTTTAAATAGAATAGATTCAAGTTTTCAGGGCTGTGGAGGAAAAGTTTAGAACAACTAATTTGCGTTTTTAGACTACATATTAAAGTTTTCTGAACTAAAAGAGCTTAAGAAAAAGTTCTGAGACTAGGAGTAAAGGTGACTGAATTTCCATGTTAGGTTATAGATTCCAGTCTCTTTCCCTTCTTTCCCTGATGAAAGACTCAGCCAAGGAGCTCTACTTTAAATTTGTGTCAAGTGGTCACTTAATGTATAGTCCTTATGGGTTGTGGACCTATTTCTGCCAAAATAAGGTCTTTATGTTGTGCTTAAGACAGTGTACTTTTCTAAGAGATCCATTAATTGACCAGACTTGATCACTGAGAATCTTTTTTTTGCAAGTAGTGATCTCTGAGGAAAAATTAAGCTTTGTTTCCTGAGGTAGTCCCCTCCCCACCCTTAAATGTTTCTAAATGTTCAAGGGTTTTAAAATTTTTTGAGTAATGAAAAATTGGACTCAAGGGTAGTCATCTGGCAGTTTTTAGTCTGGTAATTTTCCTAGTCATTGAGCCTGAGCCTTCTGATGAATATAAAGTACAATAACTTTAGGTGCTGAATTACACTTAAATCAGAAGTTTAAGGTTGGAAAGGGACCACATTGACTGTCTAATCCAACCCACTCACTTTTATAAAAAAGAAAAAATGTCTCAGGAGGAAAAGTGATTTGCTGTATGTTAAATTGCTAGTCAGTGGCAAAGACAGTTCTAGAATCCTAATATCCTAACTCCTAGTTTCCATTTGTTTCTGCCATCAGAATGCCCCTGGGTGTCACAGAACACTGGAAACTGGTGCTTTATAGTGGGAAGACAGCCAGGAAACCGGCCAGGGACTACTTGACTGACAAGGGGTTGTTCTTAAAATGGGGGGAGGCATTTTGGGGGTCAAAAAAATTAACACTGGCTCAGTTCTGAGTCTAGTTTTGAATGTTCTTCTTGCCCTACATAGAATAATACTAGGATTAAAGACATTTTCTGGGGCTTAGAATGGGAGTGTATTACCCCCCCCCCCATTTGGTATACTGCTGGGAATTGATCTGCATGTGTTTGTATGTAGAAATGTGTGTTTTCATGGCAGGAATATTAGCTTGAAAGTTTATCCAGAATCAATCAGTTACTTCCTATTGACTGTAAGGATCAGATTAATTGTGATCTACTTTCATGAAATGTGGCTGGAATTTAGTGTTACAGGGCGAATTAAGAGCAGTCTCAGGGTTGACTTTATGAGCAGCTAATTAAGTGTACAATAGAAGTCTTGTTCCAGTAAGCTTTTTAATAAGCTTAGAAAAACTTCCTGAAATCCAGATTCTTTCCTTCCATCAGTTTAATGGGAGGAAAAACCCTCCTTCGGTGAACAGTTTCATGGGAATAGACGCTCTGGCATCACGCATATAGTTTTCTACTCTCCTGATTAAAAAATCAATCACAGCTACTTCTGTGTGGAGTATAGGTACGTGCACAGTCTCATGTTTACAGCTGTGCTTTTAACTTGTATGAGATATGAATGGGATAGGAATTCTTTTACAAATACTCGAGAAATTTTCGCAGCACTGCATGGTGGCGGAAAGCAGATGTTCTTACCGTCTATGGATGAAGAAACTGATTCTGTGTGTGACCCTGCCAGACTTACAGATGTCAAGTGGCAGAAAACGGCTGTCAATCCTTGCACCATGTGATTTCTCATCACACTATGTGTGGTGTGATATTGGTGATGGACAAACCTGAGTTCACATCCTGACTATCCTTTACCTTTTTTCTCCCAGTCTTTTCATTTTGGGGTGCTTTTATATTTATGGAAAAGTTACAAGTACAGAGAGGTACCACATCTGCTCCTGTTTTCGCTGCATTGTTAATATTGCACATCACCTTTATCATTCTCTTCAATTTCATATATATCATATTATTGTCTTATTTTCTAAGTCTCTTGGTGTCTTAGCAGTTTCTCCTTCTGTGATTTGATGATTACATAGTCAAGCATTTTAGGGAATGTTTCTCTTTTTGGGTTGTGTAATGTCTTTGTCAGGATTAGCCTGATGTTACAGGATATAGAAGAGTACTATGGAGGTGACATGCGCCTGGTCACAGGATAATGGGGGATCTTGACATAAAAATCAAGTGTTATTCATGATGTTAAACTGATTGTTTGGGGCTCTGTGCCCGGCCGCGTCATGGAGCTGGCAGGCTGGGTGATTGGCGGTGAGTTTGAGGACTCGGTGTTCGAAGAGGGGCCTGAACGGTGGCCTGGGTCCCCCCTACCCAAAGGTGAGAGGGCGGCGACCCCACCCCCGGGCCTCCTCGACAGACCTTGGGGCCACGGTCCCGGCCCGCATGCCCCCGGAGCTCCTGCCGGGACGCACCGGCTCACTCGCAAAGGGCCGCTCCCTGCTCTTCGCCTACGCTGCCTTCTCCGAAAGTCGCTTCCAGTTCTCCAGGGAAACACTGGTGTCTGGGCCTTCTGCCCCCCCACCCCGTCTGTCAGCTTCTGTGCGTTGCGCTGTTTGCATGAAGTCCTTCCAACGCGGGGCACGTCCTACATTGTGCAGCCACGGGGCCTGGCGGTGTGAGCGAAGAGAGGAGGGAGCTCTGTGCGTGCTGCGCAATCAGTAGGATATTCAGGGGGCACAGGCGCTGTGCCGGGGTCCTTCACATGGACCATCCTTTCTTGGCCCGCAGCAGTTGGCTTAACAGATGCCAGGCGCTCCGCAGTTGTGTTTGTTTCAGGTCCATTTCTCCTTACCATATGCAATCGTTCAGTGTTACCATCAGTACCTGCTTGTGTAAACTATGGAGGTTGGGGAAGGGGCTGAAGCCGCATGTGGTGAAGCACAGAAAAGCCCGGCTAGGGGTGGTTACCATTTGCCCTTCAGGGTGTCGTTTCCTTACTTGGCGTGGTGGCACATGCCTGAAATCTCAGCAGTCAGAAGGTTGAGACGGAAGAATCTTGACTTCAAGGTCAGCCTGGGCTGAACAGTGACACTGCCTCCAAACAAACAAAATGATGATGATTTATCGTGGGAGTGAAATGATGCATATGAAAATGCTTACTTGTGATGTGCTGTATCCGGTACTTGGGAAGTAAAACTCAAGAGTCTGTTCGCCTTCCCTTGCGTTTGCTACATGCTTCTGAAAATATACTGCCGACAAGTGCAGTCAGCTGTTATTCGAGTTCTGGTTTCCTCGGAGTTTGGGCTAGAAGATTCCTGTTTGTAGTCTGCTCAGATGCTGCAGGAACCAGAGCTTTGCAGAACGCCTGAGCTCCTACCCTTGCCCACAAGGCTCTGCCCCTTTCCTCTTATCTGGGGGTGGTATCTGAAGACCTGGTCTGTCTGTATTTCAGGCCTGTGAGAGAATAAAAATAGTCATTTAGAAAAAAATTTTTTAAAAAAACTGATTGTTTGGCTCTGATAGGCTTTGCCCATCTTCTGCACTGTATTTTTTTCTTTTCTTAACCCTGTGCTTTGGAAGTTTCCACGTCTAGCCCATCCTAACAGGGAGAGACTGATCTCTGCTTCCTGGAAAAGAGTGTTGGGAACGCTCAGATAAGAGGAATTTGTCTCTTTTTATTTTATTTATTTACCTTTCTGTTTAGTTATTCAAACATGTATTTATCAGTATGGATCCATGTATATTTTAAACTTTAGATTATAGCTCAGTACTATGTTAATTTATTTTGTGCCCAAATTGTTTAATTGTTGGCCATTGAGAACTATTTGAAGGATACAGTTCCTGTATCCCTTTGACATGTCCTCATTCTTTCTGAGTGCTTTATTATTTGGTAACAAAATGCTTTATTACCCCCTCTACCTTAATAGGGATTTATGGATTACTTTTTATAACTTTAACTATTTAAAGCCTCAGCATACATAGAATAGTAATAGTGTCTTCCTCTCTTACTGGTTTGTTACTGAAAGACAACATATACAAAAAAAAAAAAAAATGAGTATTTAATTATTTGACACACAGTAGGTGGTAGTTCTTAATTTATTTGTGGACATATTTGGGGGATGCAGTATCAACTGTCAAGTATAGTTTTTTTTGTAGGATTATGGAGGAATTATATGTGGCCTTATATTAATAATGAAATGTAAGAGGGCTACTTTAGAGGTACTATTAATAATATGTGCAGTACAAGGTAAAATGTTACAGTATGTCATTGGGGTTTTTATTTAATAGTTGTCTGGATTGATTACCATGTAGTGTATTACTTTTCTGGCACCCAGAATTAAAGAATAGTTTATTGAGCTTACAGTTTGTGGAGGTGTCAGTCCATAATCAGCTGGCTCTGAGGCAGGGTGGCATGGCATGGGGCAAATGTTCAAGGAGGCAGAAGACAGCAAAAGCAATGAGCAAAAAAGTGGGCAAAGCAAGCCTCTTTTCTTCCCTTATGTGGTATGTTAACTATCCACCAGGGCTGTCTCCCTGCCACCTCTTTCACAAGCTCAGGATGACCCTTGATCCTGCTGAGTTTATCTTCTGTACTTCTCAAATTGACAGTTTGCCAGCCATGACACATGTTTAGTCAAATCAGGTTTCAGTAATGTGTTAGTTTTCATTTAGGTATCTCCTGTTTGGAGGGAAGCATTTGCATACATGTACACACATACATGATATGCTCTGCTGGAAGTTGCATACATAGGATAAAAGTAAGTGTGGACACTCTCATAAACAGTTTGACAGTAATTGTATGTGTACTAAATAAAGTTGGCACTTTAATTTTTAAAGCTTAGTCTCTTGAAAATTTTACAAAACCTCTTCCTTACTACTAGTAGTGTAAGAAGGAAGCCCTGTGTGCACTGTTGAACAGCATGGTTTACCAAATAGCCTGCTGTGGAATAGTTCTTATAAACTCAGTTTAAAAATCAAAGGAATATGATTTCTTCTGACCCATTTCACAATCCCAGGAAATCTTTAAGCAGTTTGTGTGGGTCACTTGTGAACTTCTTGAGAACAACCGACACTTGTTTCGCTTGAAGCTGTGGCTTTGGGGACAGAATTTAGCATCTCTTAAATTCATCCAGGACAGAACTCATTTCCTAGGTAATATATTATCAGCATAGGTGTATAACATTGAATTATTGTTTGCAAGGTTAAAATATGTATGTATCATGTCTCTTGTGTTTGTGGTTTTCACATAGCTGTCATTCAGGAAAAATGTAGTACTGTTAGTGCTCCTGTTACCTAATTGAAACTTGCCATATCGATAATTTTGGCAGCATGTATTCTTTGCTTAATTAAAAATAGCTAAAGTGGTTTTTAAGAACTTTCACATTCAAAGTGATATTTTTATAAACTAAAATTTGGAAATACATATTATTTCTAAGGTAATTATACCAGATTTTAGGATTTTGGGCATACTGTTTGTTTGCTTTTAATGCTGTTCTCTGTTACTGACATCATACATTGTTATACCTAAACCGTGAAACATAAGGCAGTTTCTGATTCTGGACTTTTTAAGTACTTGAACTGTAGAACAAACTTTCTAGCGAGCCTGGACATCAAGTCTTCTGCTGATTGGAGGCAGGAGATACGTTAGTCGGCCACTCATTTTCTTCTAGCTCTTTGATATTAGCCTGTTCTATGTATTTAAAAGAAGGAATGGTTTGACTTTAAAATGTAATTTTCTATTAGGAATTTATTCTATGTAGTATGACTTCAGAGGAGCCATATGGAGTCACTTAGGTCAGGTGTGGAACCATTTATCCTGTGTGCTGAGTTTTTGAATGTACGCATTTCCAAAATAGCTGTAATGGCAGCACTAACTGTTAACCTTCAGTGCCCATGTAATCTGATCCTGTCCTGTCTTGTAGCTCTTTTCTGTGTCTTAGCTGGGAGGCCAGCTGTATGTTACTGGCATTCTGTGTTACTACAAGGAGCAAGCAGGAAGGGGGCCACAGCTCAGGGGCCTCTTTTCTTTCATGCCTTTGTGTGGAAGGACTGCTTTGCTTTGTGCTGAAGTCCAGCATTTTGCTGTGCTGAATCCTGTTTAGCTGCTTGGGGACCAGAAAGTATTGGCACTGAGATGACAAGGCATTTCTTTCCCAAGAGCACTGTTCCTAGAGATAAAGGCAGCTGGATAAGATGAGAAGAAACAGCCATTCTCCTGTCTCTCGTGCAGCTGGAAGTCTTTCTACATCTGGTGGGGAATGTGACAGTCCCCTTGGTGTCAGGCTTGTTCCATGTGAACACAGCCACAGAGGAAAGAGCACAGAGGCTGCTGAGGCCAAGCATGTGGGAAGTATGTTGAGCCAAGGTCTGTGTTTCTCCCTAAGTACCTCATCCTACCTTGGTCCATGTTTCTATTAACATCATCACCAAAGCAAATATTGGAGGAGCTGAGGCCATTTCATGTGGCGTTGTAAGTCAGCCTTGTATTCTGAGAGGTAAGTACTTGGGCCACAGATCTGTGAAGTGAAGCATGGCAGTGAGTTTTGCTGAATCCAGTTGAAAAGAAAAGCACCAAGATTATTTTGTTAGCTATGTTGGCAAAAAATAGTGTGCATATATTTCTATTTTAAAGCAGACCTTATAAACAAAAGCTTAAATGTTTTCCCTCAGCACTGTTTAACTTCAAATATATATATAATTTTCTTAGATTAATAAAGGAAGCTGGCAAACAAGATCCAGAGCTGGCTTACATCAGCAGCAATTTTATAACTGGACACGGCATTGGGAAGAATCAGCCTCGGAACAAACAGATGGAAGCAGAGTTCAGAAAACAAGAAGAGGTACCGCAACGAACTATGCAGTGGCACTTGTCAGCACATACACAGCCAGTCTGCCTGCAGGGATTCCCCATTGCGTAGCTCCCTGGCAATTTCTTTTCTTTTTGTAATATAGAATACGTGTATAGACTGCTATCTCCTGTGAGTGACTCTGGTGATTTACATAAACTAGAGAAACTCTCTGTTAAATCAGGTTTTTGTTTTTGATTTTGTTTTTGAGACAGGGTCTCGCTGTGTAGTTTAGGTCAGCTTTGAACTCACTATGTACCCCAGGGTAACCTTGAACTTGTGATCTTCCTGCCTGAGCCTCGTGAGTGCTGGGATTACAGGCATGTGCCATTATGTCCTAGTAAATTAATTTTGTGTCTTAATTGTCATCAGCTAGTTCATTCCCCTTTATTGGATTGGCATCACATAGTTACTGTACATCTCATAGAAACGTGAAACATGGGTAGTGCTAACTCCTGTAGACGCCATGTGGCTATGAGAAAACAAGCGACATCTTTTTCCCACATGTATTTTCCTTCTTTTTTATTTAAAGTCTTCCCTTGGTTGAATTATTTTTTTTTGAGCTATATCTTATAGATTTTAACTTAAATGTTCTCATGCTTTTTAATGTCTTATGTAGGAAACATTATAAAAATGCTCAAAGCTAATTTAGTGTTCAGGCTTGCAAATAAAACTTTCAATTAAAATTTGTTCTCTAACTTAAATTTAGCCAAATAGTTTCTGCTAAAGGCACTTTTGTTACAACTTTTTGAGAGTAGTCCAGGTTTATGGATTGCAGGAGCCTTTCTGATCGATCCGTCTGAAAACCAGGTGTGATTAAAATATATGGTGAATGCTTAAACTTTAAATAATTTATTATAGTAAAAGGCATACTATCATTAACTCTTTAAAGTGTTTCTTTTACTTTAAACACTCTTATTATCCCACTGTTTTTGCCACTTTTTTTTTTGTACTTTAGGGAAGGGTCTACAGGGTGTTCAGGGTCTCACTGCTAGATCAGACTCGTATTGATCCACCTGTTTACAGCCTCCCAAGTGCTGGGATTACAGGCGCACTCCACCATGCCCAGTTTCAGTTGCCTTCTCAGTGTGCCTGTGGGGGTGGGGCCAGCATGACAGGCCTGGGGATCTAACCCCTGGCCCCTGTGCCTGGGTGCTTTAATCCGCTGAACTATTTGGCCAGTCCTTGCCACTTTCTTAAGCTGTTCTGGAAGTCGTTTTTTATGTCTTTAGTTGTATACTTGAGGCTGCCTCATATGTCCTGAACAGATCCAAAGCATTTACTCTTCATGGTCATTTTGACTTTGCAGAAAGAGTTGGAGGTCTCATGGTGCCAGATTTGTAAATAAGGTAGATGAGGACATTATAATGTTTTTCGGAGTCTACCTTTTCATTAAATGGCACTTGGCAGCAACATTTACTGTATTTTTTTAAAATCAGACCTCATGTAGATAAACACAAAAGAGAACTTCCGGAAGTGCTTCAGAAAATGGCAAGAATGATGGGATGAGTGTGTTCAAACAGAGGGGCAGGAAAGTATTGTAAGGCAGATTTATAGCAATGTCTTTTACTATAATAATTTTTTCAAAATTCTAACATTCACTACATATTTTAATCACCTTATATCTTGGATCCGGAAGTGATCTAATTTTCAGTCTTAAGTGAAAAAGCTTTCACTTACTTTAATCAATTCTGACTCCTTAAATTGAAAATTTTTCAATGTGATTAGACAATAAGCAATGCTCTGTTTCATTTTTAATTCCAAACAAATTAGGAATTTTAATAAGAAGTATGAAATCTTTGGAGTGCTGTTAGTTTCAGAGGCATCAGGGATCATTCTGGAGGATCAGAGTGTCAGTGGAACTTCAGAAGTGAGTTGGGCTGGAGGAGATATAGCTGGGCAGCACAATTATCTGACCGGCAAGCATGGTGTCCAGAGTTTGATCCCCAGTACAAAAAAAAAAAAAAAAAAAAAAAAAAGTGGGTTCGTTTAGACATGTAGTTAGATCTATTTGTGGTTATTAAAGAAACCAGCCCCTTCAACCCGAATGTGTTCTGTGATTGGTTTTAGTAGTTCTGTGAAATAGCACTTTGATTTTGCATTCATATTCAAATGAAAATTCTTGTCATTAAATCAGTTTCTGGGCTGGGGAGATGGCTCAGTGGTCTAAAGCACCTACTTGGAACAAGCTTGGCAAAGCACAGGGACCGCGGTTCAATCCCCCAGCACCACATGCCAGCCAGCCCCGCCCCCTGGTGGGCTGAGCTGGCCACACACACACAATAAATAAATAAAATAAAATTAAAAAAAAAAAATCAGTGTGTTGTGTGGCTGCATCTGCGTTTCTGTGAGGTTGTTTGCCATCATCTTTAGATTGACCTTAGACATCTGGCTTGCCCAGGGTATGTGTCAGAAATAAAAGTTGTTAAGTATTTTTATACTCTTTTCTTCGGAGAATTTCTTAGAATTACTTTTCTTGGTGGATTTTTTTCAGGTACTTAGGAAATTTCGAGCACATGAGACCAACCTGCTCATTGCAACAAGTATTGTAGAAGAAGGTGTTGATATACCAAAGTGCAACTTGGTGGTTCGTTTTGATTTGCCCACAGAGTATCGGTCCTATGTTCAGTCTAAAGGAAGAGCAAGGGCACCAATCTCTAATTACATAATGTTAGCAGATACAGACAAAATAAAAAGTTTTGAAGAAGACCTTAAAACTTATAAAGCTATTGAAAAGGTAAGATCAAAAAGTTAACTTGGTAACTTTTTTAGTCTTTGTGTATATGAGATGCATTGAAAAATAGTGACTGTTTAACTTTTTTTTAACAAATCACAGTAAAAGACACATTATCATTAAACCCCTTCAAAATATTCCTCCTGGCTTTGAACACACTTATCCTGTCCTTGCTACTTCCTGCTGCAGTTCTTGAAATGCCGTGAGTATCCTTAGTTGCACTGTTGTGCCTGCCTCAGTGTTCTGAAGTGATTTAAAATTGTTGCCTTAGGTGACCATTTTGACTTTGGGGAAGAGCTACAAGTTGCATGGTGCCAGACCCAGTGAGCAAGGTGGCTGAGGACACTCTGTAACGTGCTTCAGAGCCTGTCTCTCCATTGGATGGCACTTTCCAGCAGGATTCACTATATTTTGGTTATACCTCCTAAAAGACACAAAAGAAGACTCCTAGAACTGCTTCACAAAGTGGGACAAATGATGGGATAAGTGTTTTCAAAGTAAGAGAGTGGGTATTTTGAGGAGAATTAATGACAGTGTCTCAGTGTAACACATTTTTAAAAATGTAAGCACTTACTATGTTGTTCCATCACCCTTTGTTGATAAAAACAGTTTTATATGTAGAGAAGTATCTCAATAGGGGTGTGAAGTGTGTATATTACAAGGACCTTGAGACTGATTACCAAGACCTGGCATCTTTTTACAAGTGTTTGAAAGTCCTAGTAAAAGATCTATGAACATGGTCACATGGCTTCCTGGGAAAGGATGTCTGAGTAAGGATTGTGATAAATAGTGACGCTGAGTTGTGGAGGAGCCACAGAGTGACTTAGTAGCTGCCCTCGTGAATGGCTGCCAGTCACATGCTGTATGTGTGGTGCAGCCTGGGCCTACACTGTGTGGTAAATATTTCCATGTGTGAGGGCTCAGAGTTATTCTGCAGGAGAAGGTTTTTGTAGACTTTGGAGTTTTGATAAACATTTCAAAAAAATGGATGTGTCATGGCCAAAGGGCTTTTCTGTAGATGCAAACAGCTAACATATGGCAAGGAAGATATTTGTTCTCATCCTCACCTCTGTTTTAAAATGTTCAGATCTTGAGAAACAAATGTTCCAAGTCAGCTGACACTGGCGAAGCTGATGTCGAGCCTGTTGTGGACGATGATGATGCTTTCCCGCCTTATGTGTTGCGGCCTGATGACGGGGGTCCCCGAGTCACCATCAACACGGCCATCGGGCACATCAACAGGTATGCGGGTGGGTTTTTTGGGTGCAAACCCGTAAACATGACAAGACGTCAGCGAAACAGCCCTGCAAGTCTTATGTTCTTTACAGTTTATAATCGGTGGCCTTTTTGGTTTATTATGGTTTGCAGTATTTTTATAAGAAAAAATTTTTTTTTCTCTTGCAAAAGCAAGATTGTGTAGCAGTAAATGCTTAGGACTCATCAACAAGGTTAACAGGAGGATGTGCTTCTTTTAATCCAACCTAATTTTGTAATACTTTTTTTTTTTTTTTTTAATTTGTTGTTTTGCACCATAAATGTTGGGTAATGCTTAATTCCCCATTAGCAGTGAAGTGAGATTATTATAAATTAATTTGTAGTTTTGAATAGGATTCTGTTTACTTTTTGTGACCTGGTGATATTTCTAAGAACTAAAGAAAAGCAGATACAGACCTAAGAAAAGCAGGTACATACCTGGATTATAAATCAAGATAAATTTCATTCAGAGTCAGAGTAAAGGAGTAAGTATGATTTTCTTCTGCCTTTATTTTAAAACAATTTCAGAGATGAAAATGTTGCCAGAGTACTGCAAAAAGCACTCAGATGCCACTCACCTGAGAGCCTCCTCGGGTTCACGAGAGCCCTCTCCAGCCAGGACATCCAGTCCTGGGTCACAGCCTGTACCTGTTGCCACATCTACCCAGTCTCCTGCAGTCTTGCTTGGACTTTAACAGCTTTGAAATTTAGGGAGATCATTTTGTAGTCTGTTTCTCACATTCTGTGTGTGATGTTTTCTCACTATTAGCCTCAGAATATATATTTTGGCCAGCGTGTCACGGAAGTGGGTTTATCTCAAGTTTTTCTCATCCTGGCTTACTGTGCTGTTTTGTGTCCTTACTGGTAGTAATAACATTATCATTTGGTAAGATCCACTAATTTTATACATTGTAAAGTTACCTTTTATTTGCCCTTTCATAATTCATAAATATTTTCTGGGAAGATACTTTGAAACTGCATAAAATTTACTCTTCTTCCCAGGTAGGTTCATTAGTATGATATCCATGGGTAGCTGTTGTCTGAATTAATGATTATAATGGGTACAAATGGTGATTTTTCTAATTCCGTTACTCTTTCTCTTGTAGTTGCCATTGTGCTGTTAAAAAAAAGCTTTTTTCTGTTTATTCTTAATGTGTTTTTTAATCTCTGCGAATTTAGATTTCTGTTCTATTTATTTGGTTATAATGTTGCTATCACTTATTGCTTATTTCATTGTTAAAATGTATCTGATTTGGCCAGTAGGCACCCATTCAAGCTGGCTTTTCTGGCTTTTTAGCATGGCACTTATTCTTGAACCCTTCATTATGTAGTGGCAGAAGACAGTATGGATTCAACTGGAATATGGTCCTCGCCTCAGCCTTGACATTGGCAGTTTTGCCAGGGGGTCCTGGTTGCCTTTAGTTGAAGAATAAATTATGTGTAGAAACCAAGATCTGGATACTATGGTACTCAATGACACTAGTACATGACCACAGCCAGGATTTTTAGTAGACAGAGCTAACAAGTTTCTTTGCTTGTGTTATACATCTGTACTTATTTATATTTGTGAACACATTTATGTCGTTGTATCTGATTACCTGTCTTTTGGCATGACCTTTTCAGTATGATATTAAAGGGTCCATTGTAGATTTCTTCTTGTATTTCTAGCTGTTCTTCTCCCATCACTCTTACTGTGTGTCAGCATGGGGTTGTCCTTCTGCCTTCTTTTGATGCTTTACACATGTCTTCATTTCTGTGACAAATGTGAAGTCATTAAGGAACAGACACTTGACAATTCAGTCTCTTGATAGGTTCAGAATGGTACTGTGTGCACTGGACAGTAGGGAGCACTGGACACAGCTCTTTCAATTCAACCATCAGTGGAAGTTAGTGAACGCTTATCTTGTTGGATATGTCAGCTTCAGTGTTGGATTCTATCTTACTCAAGGTGAAGCGATGAAGTACATACTCTGACAAATGTCAGTCCAGCGGAGGGCAAGAGGAGAATAAGAGACAAGCTTTAGGCTGTGAATATCAGTACAGACTTTTCCATCTTTCTGTCATATGTAAATTCAGTTTCATAATTTTTTTTTCTTTACAGATATTGTGCTAGATTACCAAGTGATCCGTTTACTCATCTAGCTCCCAAGTGTAGAACCCGAGAGTTGCCTGATGGTACATTTTATTCAACTCTTTATTTGCCGATTAATTCACCTCTTCGAGCCTCCATTGTTGTAAGTTTAGAAAAAAAAAAAAAAAAAAAGTGATTATATCTTTTAAAGTATGTCATTAGTGGATTTTTTTTCCCTAGTCTTTTTCACACATACAAATTACAAACTTGATTTTAAAATCTATTTTTAAAACCATTTTAAGTCTTTTGTCGTCAATGTGTTCAGATTTTTAATAGACTAATTTATCGATTCTTAGAATTGGACTAGTTGACTTCTGAGTTTTCCTTATTAATGTGAACTTTTTGGATAGAGTTACGCAGCTGTGATTTGTATGCTCGACAGTGACACAACATTGAATGTAGTTGGGCTACTCTAGTTACGTTGTCAACTACTCAGAAATCTGCCTTTTGGGATTAGGGTGTAATTAGGCACAGGTCTCGTCTAGCATGTGTGGAGCCGTTCGTCCAATTCCTAGTATTTCACAAAATTAAAAAAATAAATTACAAAGGATTTTCTTTTGTAAAATTTCAGTTCTTTGGTGTCAACGTTGACTTGCAAATATTCTCTAATTCTGTTGCACATGGACAGCAGCTTAGTACTGCTAATCTTTGTTATATAAGATGTCTTTTATGTCATATTTGTAGGTTAATCAAAATAGATGCTTTAAAATCTTACTGAAATTTAAGTTTATCAAAATTATAAAACCATTTACAAGGCAGTGTTTTTAAAGATATTTTGAATATGGAGGTCAAGAATATAACTTGCTGGCATTTTAAAAGATGAATAACTGGATAAAGTGAGCTTTAAAGGTACAATGACACAGGTTCTATAGAAGTTTCATGTGTTAGTGATAATACAGCAATGGATGTGTGATGGAAAATGTTTTGTTAATTTCAGGGCCCACCAATGAGCTGTGTACGATTGGCTGAAAGAGTCGTAGCTCTCATTTGCTGTGAAAAACTGCACAAAATTGGTAAGTATGCTTGAAAAGCATATGTAAAAAGTAAATTTACATAAATGTTTTTAAAAAATCATACCAAGGACTTTCCAGGTGTCTGAGGAGTTTGTAGAGCTGTGAACTTACGTTCTTTTTGTGCTTAGTTAACAGTAAATGTCAATATTATATAACTTAAAGACTACAGTGTTGTGGGACCCCTTTATTTTCCACAGCTAATTACAAACAGCTGCCGTTCATTTGCCTCATTTACTAACCCCTTTCAAATATTGCATATAGAGGTTTTAGGGCCAGGTGTGGTGGCACCCTCCTGCAATCCCAGCACTCAGGAGGCTGAGGTGGGAGGATCACTAAATTCCAGGAGAGCCTGGGCTACATAGTGAATTTAAGGCCAGCCTGTACATAGTATGACTCTCTCCCCCAAAAGAAAAAGGAAGGAAAAAATGATGTAAGAAAGGAATACAAGGGCTGGCCAAATAGCTCAGCGGATTAAAGTGTCTCCTTAGGCAGACACAGTGGCCAGGGTTTGATCCCGGGGCCTGCCTTGCCAGCTCCATCCCCAGGGAGTGTTGAAACTGTGCTTGAGACTGTGTGTGGTAGCACAGGCCTACAATCCCAGCTTTTGGGAGGCTGAACACAGGTAGATCACTACGAGTCCAATCTATGTAGTGAGACCCTGTAGACCCTGTCCTAAAATAC